AGCATCTCACTTGGCGGTGCTGGTTCCAGTCCAGGCCACTCCACTTCCAATCCAGCTACCTGCTAATGTACCTGGAAAGGCACTGGAGGATGGCCCAAACTGGGGTCCCTGCCACACATGTAGGAGACCAGGACTGAGTTCCTGGTTTTGGCTTCAGCCTGGCCCAGCCCTGGCTGTTGTGGGCACGTTGAGGAGTAAAGAGGACACAAGATCACTTTGTGTCTCTGCCTTTGTCACTCTTATCTTTCAAATAAATAATCTTCCAAAACAAAACACACTGGGGCCAGCCTTGTAGCATAGCTGGTGAGGCCATTGCCCGAGTTGATGGCTTCCCATATGGGTGCAGGTTTGTGTCTGCTCCATTTCCAATCCAGCTCCCTGATAACGGACTGGGAAAAGCAGCAGAAGATAGCCTGAGTGCTTGGGCCCCTGCTACCCCATGGTGGAGATCTGCAGGAGGCTCTTGGCTCCTGGCAGTTGCAGTCATTTGGGCAGTGAACCAGCAGATGAACGATTTCTCTCTCTGCATCTCTCCCTCTCTCTGTAACTCTTTCAAATAATTTTTTAAATCTCACCTTTCTTATTGTGTATCAAAGACAGACTTCCTTTTACCTATGCTTCTGATCTTTCTCTTTCCTCTTATCTAGTTTTGCTCCAAATTAACCACAGCCTCTTTGCTGTTTGTTTGACACTGCTTTTCTAAACCCCATTCCCTCCAAATGCTCAAGCTTCTACTATCAATCTAATAGAGACCAAGGTTTGAACATCACTAAAACTAAAACCTTACAATACAAGGGGTATCCAAAACAATTAATGCAAAATGTGTATTATGACAAAACCTATGGATGGATTTCAAATTTTTCTATCAAAATGATCTCTAAAGTCCACTTTTCGGTGAACTTTATGATGTATCCCTGCATACACAGTAAAAGCCCATGAATTGCCTGGCACCAGCGCACTCTACATTGTTACCTGCTCTCTCCTCTTTCTATCCTTGTAGCAACTTTTCCCTCAAAACCAAACTTCCAAAGAGACTATCTGCTACCTCATATTTCCTCATCGCCCATCATCTCTCAACTAAAACTTTATTAATCTCAAAATCTTCAGTATCCTTTTCTGAAGTCTTTAACTTACAATGACTCTTCTGGTATCATGCAAAATTCTATCTTTAGGGAGCAATTGCGATCGAGAAATTTGCACTCAAATCCTAGCTCTATCATCAGTTAGCAGTATGTCCTTAGGTGAATTATTATTTAACTTCCTTGGAAATCAGTTTCCTCATCTATAACTGGGCATCTAGAGAGTTGTGGGACTATCTTCCGCTGCTTTTCCCAGCCCGTTATCAGGGAGCTGGATTGGAAATGGAGCAGACACAAATCTGCAGTTAATGTTTTGGATATACAAAGTGTCAGGCTATAAATGTTCTGATTTCCTTTTTCTCCCCCTTCTCAATTTTCTCCCATGTGCATCCAAGTGCTTCCTGGTCATCTCCTTTCTATCTCTTGGCTGCTTCCAAGTTTGAGTTCTAGATGTCCAATAGCTTGCCAAAAATTTCCATATGACTATTTGATACATGTCAACCTGTTCAAAAATCAAACATTTTCTTCTCCATTAACTATACCTTTAATGACTGCCTGACTTGCATTAATGGTATCACTATTCTCTTAGGACTTAGTATTTAGGGGCAAAAGGTGTCTATACCCTACCATAAGCCAAGGATTCCCTCTTCTCCATTTCCACTACAGACTTGTCAAGTTCAGGCTTTACTAACCTCTCCTACCTCAGTCCCCAATCTGCTAGTCTTCCTCAAGTCTGTGCCTCCTGCAACACTATAAATCGAGTAGTTCTGATATCACTCTACTACTTAAAGCCTTTGAGGTTAGCACTGTGGCACACTGGGCTAACCCACAGCCTGCAATGCCAACATCCCATACAGACTCTAGTTTGAGTTTCTGCTACTCCACATCCAATCCAATTTCCTGCTAATGTGCCTAGGAAAGCAGCAGAAGATGGCCCAAGTCCTTGGGTTTCTGCACCCACACAGGAGACCTGGATAGAAACTGGCCCAGCCATGGCCATTGCAGCCGTTTGAGGAGCAAACCACAGGATGGAAGATCTCTCTCTCTCTCCTTCTCTTTGTGGTGCTTCCTTTCAAATAAATGAATCTAAAAGAGAGGGGAGAAGAGAGGAGGGGAGGGGGAAGGGGAGGGGGAAGAGAAGGGGGAAGAGAAGGGGGAAGAGAAGAGAAGGGGGAAGAGAGGAGGAGGAAAGGAGAAGGAATTCAAACACATGAGATAGATCTGAAACTGTCAGGCCCCAAACTACCACCTTTACTTTCCAGCAGGCTCAGGAAACAAACTACTAGTTATTTCTCAGTTTGCCCTTCAATCTCCCTTTCTTAACTTGCCGATATCTGACAGAAGATGCCAAAACTGACAGAGGATGGTGGCCTAGCAGTTAAGCCTCTGGTTTTTAGGATGCCTGGTTTCTGGCCCCAGCCTACTGCTAATGCAGACTCTGGAGGACAGCAGTGATGGCTCAAGTGGCTGAAGGTTCCTGCCACCTATGTGACAGACCTAACTGAGTTCCCAGTTCTGTGCCAGCCAACCAACACCCAGAACCACTGTGGGCAGCTAGGGACCCAACTAGTTGATGGGGGCAGGGGCTGTGTGCTGTCTCCCCTCCTCCCTCTCATTTTGTCTAAACAAAAATATTATTGAAAACTTGGGAAACTGATACATTCTCTCCCCAAGTCTTCACTGATCCTCCATGGTCATGCCACAGCACATTACATGGGTCCCAAAGGAAGCTCTTCTAACACTTATTAAAGTTATTTGCCTATGTATTCAGTCCTTAGATTAGACACCTCAGTGACAGGGACCTGCAGTCTCTGTATTCAGTATTCAGGATACAGCTGTACAGCTGAGCAGGCTCTCAAAAGTATGTCAAATGAAAATGATTTGGGAACGGACCAATAATATCTGATAAAGGGCAGAAAAGCACGACAACTCAAACAGGTACAAAAAGATGGGTTTTAAAGTTAGAATAACTGCTCTAAAAGAAACTTGCAATTTAGCAAGAGAGGTGCACTCGCAGCATACACATAAAGTAAAAGCAATCTGAATTCATATACACTAGGAATAGAAATGAAAATGAATAATGAACAATAAAACGCTCATTTCGGACATTTAAAAGAAAGGTCACAATAGCATTTCTTTTTTCAAGGAGCCAATACCAATCCTAACTTTGGCTTTTCAAAAGTAAAAACTTTTTCAGGATTAAGATACTCTGTTTAATGTGCTTGATATCAACCTCAAAAATACCTCAACCAGAACTAAACATTTCTGATCCTAAGGATACAGTTAAAAGCAGCCTCACTCATTTAAAAACATTCAATAGTTAAGTTTCTAACCTGTGAGAAAAATCTGCTTGAAATCATTTAACAATCCTTGTGTTATCTGCATTAATTCTCACTCACTCAAGTATCTGTCAGGCACCTGCTACGGTGAGATGGGTGCTGGCTTTTTGGTGGGGAGGAGAGGGGGGACTCCCTGCCCTCAATGAGCCAACATTCCAGTAAACTTTACCTTTAAGAAACAAACTCAACTTTGAACCCTGAAATATATGCAGCATTATCCCAAAGTCCCTGGCAGTCAAAAATCAGGAAATATTTTATTTTGAAAATCATCACTATTCACCTTCTACAAGACACTGTCCAATAGCAGTCCCAATTATTACCTTTAAGACTTTTCATGTACCCACCAGCGGAAGAAAAAGCATTTTCTGTATAATCTGTATGGCAATAAATGGTCTCAACTGCTCACAACTAAGGGTCCCTTATTACGTCACTGCAAATCGGTAGGAAAATTATGGCACGAAAATTCACAAGTGGAACTATAGTATATCTCACTTAAAGATGCAGCAAGTTTTTAAGGCCGCATCAACACCTCTCGAACTACTACATCTGATTTTTCTTTAGTACTTGAAAAAGGAGGATAATCCAATTCAACCCGTGACGACGGTTTCCCATTCTGCAACCGCATTTTAAAGCATCAATGGTCAAGCCCTCTCCCCCCAAATCGACCGGATAAACGGGTCGGATCCACTCTGCCCTCCAAAAGCAGCACCTGGAACGATTAGGGATCCAACCGGAGAACTTTAAAAAGGGCAGGCAGCTTGGTTCCCGCTTTTGGGAGGTTTTCACATGCAAATGTTCCCGAAGGAGGGGGCTGGGATTAACTACCTCGGGAGAAGGTGCGAGGGTGGGGAACGGGAGGCCAACGCCGGCTTTCCCGCCGACCAAGGCGGAGCAAGTACTCTCCCATTCAACTTTGTTAAGTGTCACGCTGGGGCCACAGAGCCTGTAAGAGGGTTACGCTCGCAACTTGGAAAGATACGGAGCCTCCCCCCACCGCCACCCCGCGTTTATTAACTCCATCTCCAAAGTGTGTGATTCCTGGAGGAGGGGGACGCACGCCCTCCGCCGCCCGGGATCAGAGTCCAAGCGCCGACGCGCCGCGCGGCCAGAGCAACAGGAGAGCCCAGGCCGCCGCTCCGCCGGCCCCGCGACCGGCAGATGCTCCCGCTCCCCGCCCCCAACCCCACACGCCCGCCCGCGCTCCGCGCTCCGCTCTCCGGCCGGCTCCCGGCACCGCGAAGCCTTTCACCCGGCTGGGAGCAGGCAGCGGGGCAGAGCGAGCGAGCGAGCGCGCCGGGATCCGATAGAGGGAGAAGTTCGAGGAGCCGAGGCCGGGCGAGGGAGGGCGGCCCCAGGTCGGTGCCCCCTCGGGGTGGGCGGTGGGGGAGGGGTGTGGGGTCAGTTCCCGTGGTCGCCCCGACCGCTCCTGGGCCACAAGGCCGCTCCGCGCAGGCCCCGACGCCCCGGAACCGGGACAGGAAGCGTCCCCACCCGGACCCAAGCTTTAAACCTCCGGCGGCGGGAGAAACGGGCCCCGGCTCCGCAGCAGGCCCGGCACCCCGTGCCCCCGAACACCCCTCACCTCCTGGTTGAAGGCGTTGACGGCGTCCATGTTCGCGCTGCGGCGGCGGCGGCGGCGGCTGCTCCGGGCCCGCCGGTCACATAGACCTCGCGCCGCGGCGGAGCGGGGCTGAGGAACCGGCCGGGCCTAGGGGCTTGGGGGGAGGCGACGAGCTGAGCGCAGCCCGAGGCTGAGCAGGAAGGGGCTGCGGCCGAGGCAGACGGCGGAGGCAGAGGCGGAGGGTGGCGGGCCCGCACTCAGTCCCGTTCGCTGGCTGAGGAATAGGAGGCGGCGGCGGCGGCGCTGGGCTCCAACATGTCCGTTTGGCGGCGGCGGCTGCGCCCTGCGTCTCGCTGACACGGCCCCCGCGCCCTCACGCACTGGCCCACACTGGCCCGGCCGGCGAGCGGGCGGGCCTCTCTCTCTCTCCTCTCTCTCCCTCTCGCCAGCGGGATGGCGGCAGCGGCCCGAGTCCACGCCGCGCGGGGCACCCTGGGACGGCTCGGGCCTCCCGGCGCTTCCTGTGCCGGGCGCCCGCCCCGCCCCGCCCCGCCCCGCCCGCCCGCGCTGGCCCCGCCCCGCGCGCCCGGCCGCTGGCGCGTGACGCCGGGAGGCCGGGCGCTTTCCCGCCGGCGGTGCCCGCGGGCCGGGAGGCTGCGGGGCGCTGGCGCCGAGCCCCGGTGAAGGGCGCCGGCGAGCGCGCGGGCTGCCGGGGACGAGCGGTTGCGTCCGCGCGGCGCCGCCGGGGTGCGTTTTTGTGAGCCGGTCGTTGCGGACGCGGGGCCGCCGGCGCTCCGCGGCCTGGAACAAAGGGCGCAGGGACCTCACGCCGGCCCGCCGGGCGAGCATGGGCAGGCTCCCGTGCGCTCCGCCGGAGGAACAGCCCGCGCCGAGGCGGCCCCGCGACCGCCCTTGTCCGCGCGGCTGGTTGTGCTCCGGCTGAGGCGCCGGGGCTGGGTTTCCACAGAGGCCTGAGGGGACCCCGGGGCGGCCGTGTGCCACGCGGGGAGGAGTGGGTTCGCGGAACCGAGTCGGTTCCTCGCTGGCGGAAACGAGGCCTTAATTCGCTCTCCTTGCTGTTGGCCGGGCACCGTAGGAGGTGTTGGGAGATTTGGACTTGAATGAGTGTTTCTGCCTACGGACACCTCAGTGTAGCGGAGAGAGGGCAGGCTATCGAGCAGATAATTATCAGAGTGGTTAGCAGAGCCTTGGGGAACAAAGAAGATACCCGACTGCAAGTCCAGGAAGGCTTCCCGGAGGAGGTAGCTCGGACCTAGGCTACCTGGAGGAGGAGGAGGGAGGAGATCTGTCAGGTGGATTAAGAGAGGGGGGAACCATGAGATGAGGCCCTAAGGGGGTCTTTGCCCTTCATCAGAGTTTGGAATTTATCCCCAAGGCGGTGGGGGGCGGGTGTCACTGAAAGATTTGAGAAAGATGGGGTTGTGCTGAATGTTCCCAGAGGAGTGGCGCGGGGGGGGGGGGGGGGGGTTCGGCCCTGGTCCCTGGAAGCGGGATTGTCAAGGAGGATGCCAAGGGCTTCTGGGCTGAGGAGTGGCGGAGGCTGTGGTGTATGCGGCCACCTAGGGAATTTATGGAGTGCAAGACGCGAGTTGGAGGGAAGGCGGAGTAATGGTGACTCCTTGTGGACCGGTTACCCGGTGCCAGGGCCTGCCTGGCATGCTAGTCTGTCTTTTGTTTGATCTCTGCCTCAAGCTTTGTGGGAGGTGGCTATTAGTCCCGCCCTGGTTTTATAGTTGAGGGAGTGAGTCCTCATTCAGTTAAGTAACCTGCCCAAGGTCACACAGCCTGGTGAGTTCCGCCTGGGGCCGGTGGAGTTTGAGCTGCCCCTGGGACACGTGCGGGAGGATGTCTGGGAGGCAGTTGGGTAAACAGGTGTGGAGTGAAGAGAGATGGCTTCGAGGGTGTAGACCTCTGGGTGTCCTCGTGGGAAGGCAGGTAGGGAAGGGGTAAGAAGAGGTGGAGAAAGGCCTGGGAGACGCACAGCAAGATCAGAATGAGAAGGTGCCTGCTGCATTTAGTCGTGGAGGTCATCCTGCATGTGGCTGGAGTGGCGAGGGCAAGCGCAGAAGCTGAACCGCTGAGCTTTGCAGAGGGGAAGGCAGGCAGGAGACGTTAGACAGAAACTTGGCTGTCAGGACACCAGGAAGCTGCAAGACTTTGCTTGTTTTTTTTGTTTGTTTGTTTTTGTTTTGTTTTGTTTCGTTTTTAAGGTGAAAGAAAGATACCCTTAATCATTTCCCAGAGCGACAGACCCCAGATGGTTATGCTGAGGTTCACTTTTTTTTTTTTTTAAAGATGTATTTATTTGAAAGAGTTAACACAGGAGAGGGAGAGAGAGGTCTTCCATTCACTGGTTCACTCCCTAATTGGCTGCAACAGCCGGGGCTATGCCAATCCGAAGCCAGGAGCCAGGAGCTTCTTCCAGTCTCCCACACGAGTACAAGAGCCCAAGGACTGGGGCCATCTTCCACTGCTTTCCCAGGCCACAGCAGAGAGCTGATTTGAAAGAGGAGCAGCCGGGACTAGAACCGGCTCCCAGATGAGATGCTGGCACCACAGGCAGAGGTTTAGTGCACTGTGCCACAGCACTGGCCCCAAGGTTCACTTTCTATCTCTGCATTATTACTCTCTCTCCCCCATGAGTTATGATTTCCAAACCCATGCTGTCATCCTCAGCACTACCCATGTTGCGTTAGACAGTGCCCTTGGCTGAGCTGTTAAGGCACTGCTGAAGATGCCTGCATCCTCTGGTGGAGTGCCTGGATTTGATCCCCAGCTGCAGCTCCTGTCTCCAGCTTGGTTCTAATGCAGACCCTGTGAAGAAGTAGTAATGGCTCAAAGAGTTAGGTCCCTGTTGTCTACCAGTTGCAGTCCAAGATACCTACAGCATGTTTCCAGCCTAGTGCCAGGACACAATCTAAGTTGTGTGGTTAGCTGGATATATCTGGAAACAAACATGGGGGCCCAGCACTGTGGCATAGTGGGTAAAGCCACTGCCTGCAGTGCGGGCATCCCATATGGGTGCTGGTTCAAGTCTTGGCTGCTCCTCTTCCTATCCAGCTCTCTGCTAATGACCTGGAAAGGCAGAGGAAGATGGCTCAAGTCCTTGGGCCTGTGACCTGTGTGGGAGACCTGTAAGAAGCTCCTGGATCCTGGCTTTGGACTGGTCCAGCTCTGGCTGTTCTGTGAAAGGGAAGGTCCCCACAAAACACAAACACTGGAGTAAGGGAAAAGGTTTATTGTCGGGTGGAGGAAACCTTACAGGCTGCCTCTCCGTGCATGAGAGAGCAGCAGCCTGTATTCGGAGAACAGGTCTCGTATAGCTTTGCAGAGGTAAGGAAGTGGGAGCGGTGAATCCCGTTAGGGTGGGGGTGGGGCTGATGCTTGCAATTGGGCCATTTGGTCATCTGACTTCTAGTAAGCCAGGCTGGGCTTGGGAAGATGGCACCATTTTACTAACATTGTGGCCATCTGGGGAGTGAACCAGTGGATGGAAGACCTCTCTCTTTCTGCCTTTGCCTCTCTGTACCTCTGCCTTTCAAATAAATAATAATAAATACTTCTTAAAGAAACGAATACACTGGGCCTTTGTTCTCACAGAAGAGCCCTCCCTGCCTCTCCCTGTAGGCAGGCATGATTTGCACCTAGTTGATGTTGGGACATCATTTGTTTTGCTCGTTCATCACTTATTACTACCTTTTTGTCTCAGATGAACCTTCTTCGTGCCAGGATCCACGCTAAAGAACGTTCCTGCTCTCCTCCCAGCTGGTCTGAACATCTCCCACTAAAAAATGCTCCCATGATGCACTGTGGCGCTTCTTACCTTGTAGCTTGTATTGCTATTTGAAAAAAAGCATTGCAGCATTTTCACACCATGTGGTCCTGCCTACTCCTACCTCTTTCTGTGCACCGTGGTGGAACTTAAAAAGGGACCCAGAAACCAATGAGATTTTCCCCCTCTCCCCAGTTCATACAAGCAGTCTTCTTTCCTGCTGTGCATCGGGGAATTGATTTGGCCTAAGGCCAGGATAAAGTCTCGAGGTTGGAAAAGGTCTTTGGGGAAGGTGTTGAGTTTTGAGCTCTGCAATGATCTTTGAATGAGGGAATGATATTTTTCTGGGTATCAGCCTGCTGAGGTTTGAAAGCACAAAGAACAAGATTTGACTTCTAAGATCCAAGTGTTTAAGGTAGATAACTTAGATGTAAGAGGCTCTTTTCTGGGTAAGGTGGTTTTGTTTTTCTGTTGAGAGTGCTGAGGAGGAAGCTTTTACAAGCTATTGGAGACTGTGTTATCAGCGAGACTTTGGGCACCTGGGCAGCTTTCTCTAGCATTTTTCCATTCTGAAGACAGCTGCACCTCTACCTGCTCTGGGACATCTGGCAGCCATTTGCACAGCTGCTGCTGGACTTCCACCTCTACCTCTCCAGGCAGATGAGTCAGATCTTCCCATAGGAAATTTTTGGCAAGTGAAAAAGCTTGTGAAAAACTGTCCTTTGTGATTAGAGACCTTGAACCAGTAGGGATGCAGCCTCTTGAAAAGGAGGATCATAAATGGATGTGCCTGACAAAAATCAGCAAGATATTTTATCCACTTGCAAACTTACCTTCTTCCAAAGAACATGGAATTAAACAGATCCGTTTGTTCATGATGTGGATGTGAAAATAGACAGCACTGAAGAGCTGTTCTAAACATCGACATTTGAAAAGAAGTTGGTCAAATCCCTACTCAGAGGATGGAAAAGATGGCCTTCAAGAAGTGATATTCTGGTAAATTCTGTGCCCTTCACATGTCAGAACCTTTTCTTGAAAGGAGCTGGGTACAATCCCCAGGTATAGAGAACATGGAGAGAGGACATGTATAGATCAGGATCCAGGGGAAAATGAGTTCTTAATATTTCCTACATCCTTTGAGTAAAATAAGTATAAAAATATGTTGAATGAGACGTCGTTCTCCCTGGTCTGCTTTCTTTCTCTGACCAGCTTTCTCCTCTCTTTGTTGCTCACCTTACACTTCTGTGATTCCTCTGCCTCCACACTTAGGGGCCTCAACTCTGTTGGTTTGGAACTGTCTTTCCAACTGCCTCCTGGCAAATTCCACATATGTCCCTTCCATCTCCAAGGGACCCACCTCTTTTTCTTGACAGCCTCTGTCTCATGCACCTTATGTTGATGCCAGGATAGTGGGACAATGAAGAAAACAGGAATTCCAAGAAGGACAAGCCTGTGGCAGTTGGGTGATGGGCTTTTAGGGATTCTTCATTTTTCCTTAAATTTTCAGTACTTCCCAGACTCCCTGTAGAAAATGTTTTACTTTTTATAGTAAGTAAACTCATTTCAAAAATCATGCAAGAAAGTATGCATTGGTAATTGTGGTCATGAGTACAACAGTGAGCCTATGAGTCAGTAATAAAGGAAAACATTTTATCTTGACCATTTCCTATCTTACCTAAGAATAGGAATTGGCAAGGGGGCCAGGGCAAGGATGGGGGAAGGAACTGGGCATGCCCACCTACTGTATCTGAGTGCTTGAGTTTGAGTTCCTGCTTCTAGAAAGTCATTCCAGCTTCCAGCTAGAAAAGAGGCAGCAGGTGATGGGTCAAGTAATTGAGTTCCTGCCACCTACATGAGAGACTTGGACTGGGTTCCCAGCTCCCAGCTTTAACCCAGTCCATCCCTGGCAATTGTGGGCATTTGGGAAGTGAACCACTGGATAGGGTGCTCTTTCTTGCTCTTCCTTTCAAAAAAGAATAAACTTTAAAAAGGGGGATATGGTGGGTATTGTGGTACAGCAGGTTATTTTGCCCACATCCCATTTCTGAATGCCTGAGATTGAATCCCACCTCCACTTCCTATCCAGCTTCAAACTAATGTGCACCCTGAGAGGCAGCAGATAGTAGCTCAAGTACCTGGGTCCCTGCCACCCATGTGTGAGATTCTGATGGAGTTCCTGGCTTTCAACTTTAGCCTGGCCCACCCACCACCTGGCTGTTGCAGGGATTTGGGGAGTGAACCAGTGGATGAAAGATCTCACTCTTGCTCTGCCTTTCAAATAATCAATAAATACATAAATAAGCTTTAAAAATCCAGTCTTAAGTGAAAATGTCACTTCTGGAACTGGGGTATCCCAATCCAACACTTGCCCTTTGTTCATTCACAAAATAAATATGAGCATCTGTTATGGTCAGGCATTGTGGGGTGAGCAAAAGCAGGTAAATGCCTTCCTCCTGGAGCTCCCCCCACCCCCAGTCTGACACCCTGTGTTGTTTTCGAGTATTTTTCAAGTGTCTATTGGCTATTTATACACTTTGTTTTCTTAAATGTGTATTCAAATCTTTTACCCTTTTTTAAAAAAGGGATCATTTGTCATCTAATTGGATTGTGTGAGTTCTTTATTTATCTGGATTCAACCCTTTGTTAGGTACACATATTGGGAATATTTCCTTCCAGTCTGTGACTTGCCTTTTCATTTTCTTTTGAAAAGATGTTTTCAATTTCTAAAAATAGTTTATTTATTTAAGACAGAGAGACAGCAATCCCATCCACTGGTTCACTCCCCAAATGGCCACAATGGCTGAATCTGGGTTGGGGTTGAAATCTGGAGGCCAAAATGCAAATTAGCCACATTGGCCTCAGGGACCCAACCCCTGCAGCCTTCACCTGCTGCTTCCCGGGTGCCTATTAGCAGGGTTGGGAAAGGAGTGAATTGAAACCAGGTGCTCTGCTACTCAAGTGGGTTGTGGGTGTCTTAACTGCTAGCCTAAACACCTACTGCCATATATATATATATATATTTTTTTTTTTTTTTTTTGACAGAGTGGACAGTGAGAGAGAGAAAGGTCTTCCTTTTTCCGTTGGTTCACCCTCCAATGGCCGCTGTGGGAGGTGCACCGTGCTGATCCGAAGCCAGGAGCCAGGTGCTTCTCCTGGTCTCCCATTCAGGTGCAGGGCCCAAGCACTTGGGCCATCCTTCACTGCACTCCCTGGCCACAGCAGAGAGCTGGACAGGAAGTGGAGCAACCGGGACAGAACTGGCGCCCCTACCGGGACTAGAACCCAGTGTGCTGGTGCTGCAGGCAGAGGATTAGCCTATTGAGCCATGATGCCGGCCCTGCCATATATTTTTAATTTTGATGAATAGAAGAATTTTTGTTGTTTATGCTTTTCTGTCATACTGAAGAATTTTGGTTTACCCACAGAGTACTAAATGGTTCCCTCTCATTTTTCCTCTTGAGTCTTTATGATCTAGCATTTATGTTGAGGTCTGTATCATATTTTGAGTTAATTTATGCATATGATGTGAAGTAAATGTGGAGCTTTGTCGTCCCCCACCCAGCCCCACCAATGGGATATCCGGTTGTCCCAGCACTAATTGTTGAAAAAGCTGATAATTGGTCATGCATGTGTGGATCTGTTTCTGTACTGTGGTTCCTTCATCTGTATGTCCATCTCACATATAAATGCCACATGTCTTAATTTCTCTGGTAATTCAAGTAAATCTATTAGTGTAAATCTCCAACATGGTTCTTCTTTTAAAAAAATCTGTTTATGATTCCATAATCTTGAATTTCTTTGAAAATTTCAGAATCAGCTTGTTAATGGTAAGTGAAAACAAGACAACACAAGAAGCCTGCTGAGATTTTGATTCGGTTTCCATTGAATTTATAAATCAGTTTGGGAGATATTAAGTCTTCTTATCTGTGAAGACAATTTATCTTTTTATTTATTTAGATCTTCAGTTTCTCTTAGCAATGTTTGCTGAGATCTCAACATGTCTTGCACATATTTTGCTAAATTTATCCCAGGATAATTCATGTTTTGGTGTGCTATATTGTTTTTAAAATTTATTTCCAGTTATTTGTTTCTAATAGAGAAATGTTATTGACTTTGTATATTCATCTTGTGTTCTGCAATCTTGTATATGCTTATTAGTCCTAGGAGCTTTTTTTTAAGTTATTTCCTCAAGACTTTCTATGGATGTGATTATGTCTTTTGGGAATAAAGACAGCCACTGTGTAAGTCTGTTGTTTAGTTTTCTCGTTTGCACTGACCAATCCACCATTACAGTGTTACAAATAAAAGCAGTGAGAATAGACTTCCTTATTTTGTGTTTGATCTCCAAAGCAAAACATTCTTACACCATTTCTTGTGTTGTTCACTGAGGGTTTTCCTTAGCTGCCCTGTAACAGGATGAGGAAGTTTCCTTCAAGTAGTTCCCTGGGAATATTTTTATTCTATTAAATCATGAATGAATATTGAATTTTATCAAATGCTGTTACCATATACATTGAGATGAACATATGATTGTTGTATTTTATTCTGTTAACATGATGACTTATAGTGCTTAATTTTAGAATGTTAAGTCAGTTGGCATTCCTGGAATACACTGACTTGGACATGAGATATTTCCCTTTTTATGTACTACTGGATTTAATTTGCAATGATTCCCTTAAAAATATTTTCTTTTTTTTTTTTTTTTTTTTTTTTGACAGGCAGAGTGGACAGTGAGAGAGAGAGACAGAGAGAAAGGTCTTCCTTTGCCATTGGTTCACCCTCCAATGGCCGCCGCGGCTGGCGCGCTGCGGCTGGCGCACTGCGCTGATCCAATGGCAGGAGCCAGGAGCCAGGTGCTTTTCCTCGTCTCCCATGGGGTGCAGGGCCCAAGCACCTGGGCCATCCTCCACTGCACTCCCTGGCCACAGCAGAGAGCTGGCCTGGAAGAGGGGCAACCGGGACAGAATCCGGCGCCCCGACCGGGACTAGAACCCGGTGTGCCGGCGCCGCTAGGCGGAGGATTAGCCTAGTGAGCCGCGGCGCCGGCCCTAAAAATATTTTCTTATGTTCATGTGTGATATTGGTCTGTAGTTTGTGCCTTCTTGGAATGGGTTTGGTGTCATGGTAGCTTGATTTGAGAAGTATTTCATTTTTTATTTTCTGGAAAGAGTTTTGTGGAACTGATATTTCTTCCTTAAGACTTTGTTAAAATTCACCAGTGAAACCACCTGCGCCTATAGTTTTTGTTATAAGAAGGTTTCATGTTAATAATTAAGTTTTTTAAAATCAATATATGGCTCTCCAGGTGTTCTATTTCTTAGATAGTTTTGATAATTACTATCTTTTGAGAAATTTGTCTATTTAAAGGTTGTTGATGTCTTGGCATAAAGTTTTTCATGATGTTGTCTTTTAGTCTGTGGTGAGATTCCTCATTTCTTTGTCCTCATTTCTGATTTTGGTAATTTCTCTTTTATTTATTTTCTTGTTAGGTCTAGTTAAAGATTCATCTGTTTTGCTGATTTTCAGAGAAACAGCTTTCAGTTTAATTGATTAGCTGTATTGTTTGTGTACTTTCAGGCTTATTGATTTTTCACTCTTAATTATTTTTAGAAGTATATTCTTTTAATTCCAAACATTTAGGAATTTCTCAAATATCTTTCTGTGGTTGATCACTAATTGAGACATGTTTTGTGGCTCAGCCTGTGATCTATTTAGTGGGTTGTTGTATGTGTGCACTTGAATTAATGTTTACCCTGGTCTTGTTAGGTAGAATGTTCTATTAATGTCACTTGGATCAGGTTGGTTAATAGCATATAAGAGTTCTCTATCCCTATTCATTTCTTGCCTACTTATTATGCTAATTACTCAGGAGATTTGACATCTTTGCTGTAATTATGCATTTATTTCTCCTGTAAATTCTGTCAATATTTTGTTGTTAGGTCCATAAACATTTAGGATTATCATTTCTCCTTCATGAACTGACCCTCTTATCGTTGAGTAATTTTCTGTGTATCTCCAACATTATTCTTTGTTCTGAAATCTGATTTGTCTGCTATTGATAGAACCATTCTGACTTTCTCGTGGCTGGTATTTGCATGCTATGTTTTTTCCATCATTTTGCTTTTAACCTACCTGAGTCTTTATAGTCAACATGGATTTCTCATGGGCAGCATGCAGTTGGGCCTTGGATTTTATTCCAATCTAACAACTCTGACTTGTAACTGAATTATTTAGACCATTCACATTTAATGTAGTTATCAGTATGGTTGAGTTTATTTTTTAAAAGAATTATTTTATTTATTTGAAAGATAGAGTTACAGAGAGAGGCAGAGCCAGAGAAAGCAAGAGAGGTCTTCCATCCACTGGTTCACTTCCCAAATGACTACAATGGCCAGAGTTGAGCTGATCCGAAGCCAGGAGCAAGGAGCTTCTTCTGGGTCTCCCATGCAGGTGCAGGGGCCCAAGGACTTGAGCTGTCTTCTACTACTTTCCCCAGGCCGTTGCAGAGAGCTGGATCAGAAGTGAAGTAGCCAGGACTTGAACCGGCACCCATATGGGATGCCGGCGCTGCAGACCAGGGATTTAACCTGCTGTGCCACAGCGCTGGCCCCGATGATTGAGTTTAAATCTACTGTTCTGATACATGTTTCCTATTTTTCCTATCTGCTCCTCACTGTTTTTTTTCCTCCTATATGTCTTCTTTTGGCATAGAAATTTCTATTATTTAGTATTTAAAAAATTATTTGAGATGTGGACAGTCAGATAGATCTCCTATCCACTGGTTCACTCCACAGATACTCAAAATGGCCAGGGCTGGGCCAGGCCAAAGCTGGGAGCCAGGAGCTCAACACCATTACCCCATGTGAGTAGAAGAGACCCAGTTATTTGAGCCATCACTTGCTGCCTCCAGGGTGTGCATTAATAGGAAGCTGGAATCGGGAGCCAGACTCCAACCCAGGAACTGCAGTGTGGGACACAGGCATCCTAACTGGCATCTTCATTGCTACACCAAAAGCCTGTCTCCTAGTATTAAAGTTTTCCTCAGGAGCTTAGTACATGTATCTCTCTTTGTAGTCATTGATCTAAGGCTTACACTCTACAGCTTTAAGTTATCAAATCCACTTTCTTTTTTTTTTTTTTAACTTTTATTTAATGGATATAAATTTCCAAAGTACAGCTTATGGATTACAATGGCTTTCCCCCCCAATGACTTCCCTCCCACTTGCAACCCTCCCCTTTCCCGCTCTCTCTCCCCTTCCATTCACATCAAGATTCATTTTCAATTCTCTTTATATACAGATCAGTTTAGTATACATTAAGTAAAGATTTCAACAGTTTGCTCCCACACAGAAACATAAAGTGAAAAATACTGTTTGAGTACTAGTTATATCATTAAATCTCAATGTACAGCACACTAAGGACAAAGATCCTACATGAGGAGTAAGTGCACAGTGACTCCTGTTGTTGACTTTACAAATTGACACTCCTGTTTATGGCATCAGTAATCTCCCTATGCTCCAGTCATGAGTTTCCAAGGCTATGGAAGCCTTTTGAGTTCACCGACTCTTATCTTACTTAGACAAGGTCATAGTCAAAGTGGAAGTTCTCTCCTCCCTTCAGAGAAAGGTACCTCCTTCTTTGAAGACCTGTTCTTTCCACTGGGATCTCACTCACTGAGATCTTTCATTTAGGGTTGTTGTTTTGTTTTGTTTTGTTTTTTTTTTGCCAGAGTGTCTTGGCTTTCCATGCCTGAAATACTCTCATGGGCTTTTCAGCTGGATCCGAATGCCTTTAGGGCTGTCAAATCCACTTTCAAATAAATTTATACCACTTCACATGCAATGTATGATCTTTATATTATGCCCTTATGTCTTCTGTAATCATTGTGCCTATTGTTGTTCTCTATTTCTATGCATGCACTTCAAGAAGCTTGTGGAGGCTGGCTCCGCGGCTCACTAGGCTAATCCTCCGCCTTGCGGCGCTGGCACACCGGGTTCTAGTCCTGTTCCGGACGCCGGATTCTGTCCCGGTTGCCCCTCTTCCAGGCCAGCTCTCTGCTGTGGCCAGGGAATGCAGTGGAGGATGGCCCAAGTGCTTGGGCCCTGCACCCCATGGGAGACCAGGAGAAGCACCTGGCTCCTGCCTTCAGATCAGCGCGGTACACTGGCTGCAGCGGCCATTGGAGGGTGAACCAACGGCAAAGGAAGACCTTTCTCTCTGTCTCTCTCACTGTCTAACTCTGCCTGTCAAAAAAAAAAAAAAAAAAGATTGTGGAAACACAAAATTAAATGATTATTTTGGTACAAAAAATATTTTGAAAACCATACATTTTTTCTAATACACATTTTCCACAAACTTTTTGAAGTTCTTTTGTATTGATTTCAAAATTTTTTGCATCAAAATAAATTTATCCTTTCATTCCATTTTTCCATGAACTTTTTTGAAGTATCCTTGTACATCTGTTTTTTTTTTTTTAAATTAATATATTTATTTGAAAGGCAGAGTTACAAAGAAGCAGAGGCAGAGGGAGAGAGATCTTCCATCTGTTGGTTCACTGCCCAGTGGCCGCCATGGCTGGAGCTGGGCCAATCTGAAGCCAGGAGCCAGGAGCTTCTTCTGGGTCTCCCATGCCGGTGCAGGGGCCAAAGGATTTGGGCCATCTTCTACTGCTTTCCCAGGCCATAGCAGAGAACTGGATCGGAAGTGGGGCAGCCTGGACTTGAACCAGCACCCATATGGGATGCGGGCACTGCAGGCGGCAGCTTCCCAGTACACCACAGTGCCAGCCCCTCCTGTGTATTTTTGAAAGCTATTTTTGGAGGGTACAGAATTCTACATTTACAAGGTTTGTCCCCACAGTACTTTAAGTGTGTTCATCTATCATTGTCTGACTTGCATAGTTTCTCATGAGAAGCCTTATCATTCTAATTTTTGTCAATAATTAACCTTTTTTCCAATGTCTGAAAATTGTTATTTCCCATGTGTTTTCCAGGTTTCTAGTTTTTTTGGGGGGGACCCTGTTACTACCTTATGACCAGAAGCAAAAGTTCCCTGAAGATCATAATTATTATGGAATAAAATTATTAATTTATTTTCTATTTAAAGCCTTTTTTGTGTTCTAAGGAATCTTGGTGTGTGCTAAGATAGAAGCACTGCAGTCTTACTGCTCATATTTAGGTTGATAATTCCTCTCAAATAAATTTTGTGTGCATAGGAAGTGTGGTTCAAGGTTTATTTTTTTTTTTTAAAGATTTTAGTTATTTAAGAGGTAGAGTTACAGACAGTGAGAGAGAGAGACAGAGAGAAAGGTCTTCTGTCCGC